AACCTCAAGCACTGCACGCCCAGCCAATTGTCCTTTCTTCATCTTCTCGACCCACGAGTTGAGGTCTTCGAGTTTCCCCTTGACCAAAACGGGCTATCTGCTATTAGCGCGACTGACTCGAGATTCGGGTGATAATGGTAGTGCCTTACGTGGACGACATCTCGTGCGGTGAAATCCAGAGCCTCTTCCACATCTTTCAGCGTTCCGGTCAAAGTACCAACGATATTCAATCTCTTAAGGGACAACAGCATGGGAGGAGCTCCTGCTAGCACGGTGGGGTCCGCAGGCAGACCGACAGCCACCAGCGTGCCATTCGGACGAAGATATGTGGGCGCCGTCGAATAAACGGTCTTGGTTGCAGCTGTCACGATTACTCCATGTGCGCCGTATGTCGTGATCTTCCTGATCTCCGCAGCGATGTCTTCTGTTGTTAGGAAGTCAATGAACACCTCCGCCCCAAGCTTATGGCACAACTCTCGTTTATCATCACCACCATCGATAGCAATGACTCGCATTCCCATCGCCCGTGCATATTGAATCGCCAGATGACCCAGGCCACCGCCAGCTCCGGGAAGCACAATCCACTGGCCAGCTTTGACGTTGGCACTAATCAGGACACACACACACATCGTTAGTCTAGCTCGACCATCCTTGACAGGAGCAACGGTTGCTTACCGCTTGCATGCAACATAGGCAGTCACTCCGCCGCACATGATAGGCCCTGCCTCTTCATCCGCAACCCCGTCGGGGATTTTGGAGGTATACCGGCCATCCGCCACACAGTACTCTTGGAAGGTACCCGGGGTGGTAAACCCGCTGTTGATCTGTCTGAGGCAGTTGACCTCGTCCACGCCGCTCAGACAGAATTCGCATTCGCCGCAGGTCTTCGCAATCCACTTGATTCCAGCGCGGTCCCCGATGCTCCAGCGGCTCTCCATACCTTCGCCAATCGCTACCACAACGCCGACCCCCTCATGTCCTGCGACCCCTTTGCTCTCGGGCTTCATCGTCACCCCAAACCCGGCCCATTCATCCTGAAGGAGAGACTTGTCAGATCCGCAGAATCCGGTCCATGTGATGCGGACCAAGATCTCGCCGGGTCCCGGGAGGTCCACATCGATGGTTTCGATACTGGTGGTGGCCGTGTCGCCCGACCCGCTACGAACAGCAGCGCGCTGTTGTTTGGGGATAGGGTTCATGCGGATAGTCATGGTGTATATGGGGGTGAATCCTTGTCACAAATTTACAAGGTCGATGGCTGGGAAAGAGACGATTCGGCTCCTACTACGGTTAACCAGGGGAGGAGTTGCTTCTTTATAGCTGCCTCCCCCCCCACGTGACGGGATGTTAAAGGTACATTTACAGCTGCTGCTAATGAACTCAATTCAGAGTTGACATCCTTGATCATCATGCACATCGATTCAGAGAGATAAGATCGGGGCTTCATACAGCTTCAACATTGGTGGGCTTCATGATCTATCGAGCTGACTGCGCCTTAGTCGCTGCAGACTAATGCTGGGAGGCACCTTTCAAGCAAGCATATCACCATGGAAAGATCGATTGCCCTCATTGAGGATATTCTTCGGCGAAATACTGTGAGTAGACTCCATGCATCGAAAACATACCGAGGATGCCTAGCGACCCCGCTCCATTGCCACAGGAAGAGGGGGTCTCGCAGTCCTGTTCAGGTAGGAGATCGATGCTGCTTCGGCTTCTCGTACAGGCATCGCCAATGAGAGACATGCCTGACTCAAAATTTGGCCTTTGAGACCGGGGTTTTCGCAAGGATTGATTGGCAAACAATCCCTGCAGCAACCTCGGACATAGGGAGGTGCTTCCCCGCATCTTCGTGAAAGAACGTCATGCGGTGGGCTGGATGCGCCAGCTGATAGAGACCTCGTCCTCTTTGTCCAATGGAGGTGCAACCATTCTGGCTAGAGCAAGACAATGAAGGGCCTGGGAGGTAGCTCAGTAGTCCACCGCGAGCACATTGGCTGTCTCAAGTTTGGGATCTTGTCAAGTTGCCTTCCTGCAAGACCTCGGCCAATAAAGGTCTTACTGTGGGGCTTAAAAGATTGAGTGCAGACCTCACGTCAAATTGACTTGTTAGTTTGTGATTGAAGTGAGCCACTGCATAAGGTCGAGTTGTCTTCCCTTCCCAAGTGCTTACGGGAGTGCAAGCTGATGCCTATTACAGTTGTAACGTTAACTACAGGTTTGTGATGGTGTTGATGCCGTGCGGCCTTAGGCATTCAGGGCCAGGAGCTGATCTGGCCGGGCTGACTAATTCTCCGCTGCCCCTCCCGAAAAAAATTGCCCCGCCACGGCGATAAGTCAGTGAGTGGAAGGGAAAGGAACGTTCCCGCCCACGCTGGCTAAAATTTCCATCTCGCTATAAACGCCCTTAGAGTAGACCTCTCCGCCTGCACTTTTTCATTTTAAAGATACCCTTGATCAATTATCAAACAGCAATCCATATCACAATGTCTGCAGACGAGCAGGTGGCTTTCCAGAAGCCTGGCGACCTCGTGGATCGCAACGAGGAAACCGGAGCGATGACGGTGGAAAGTCTTTGCATGAACTGCGAGCAAAACGTATGTTAATCCATCCATGCCCATCAATGACTCAGTAGGCTGATGCGCGACTCTTTCCAGGGACGTACTACTTTCCTACTGATCCGTATTCCCTATTTCCGCGACGTTATTCTCGAGGCTTTCGAATGCGAACACTGCCATTTCAAGAACAACTCGATCAAGTCCGCCTCCCAGATCCAAGAGAAGGGATCTGTCTACCATCTCGAGGTCGAGAATGAGACCGACTTGCAGCGCCAGGTGGTCCGCAGTGACATCTCCGTCTTCAAGCTCGAGTCCCTGGGTATCGAGATGCCCAAGGGCGAGGGCCAGTTGACCACTGTTGAAGGCGTCATCCGCAAGATCTACGACAACCTGTCCAGCGAGCAGGACCTGCGCAAGGAGCAAGCTCCTGAACTCTACACCGCTCTCGTGCCCATCATCGAGAAGCTCGAGAAGATCCTCGAGGGCCAAGGCTTCCCCTTTACTATTTCCCTCGATGACCCCAGCGGTAACTCCTGGATCGCCCCGACCACCCAAGATTCTGCTCACAAGTACCGTCGCCGGGACTACCTGCGCACCCACGAGCAGAACGAGGAGCTCGGTATCAGTGGTGACCCCAACGCTGTGCAGCACCAGGGTACGGGTCAGGAAGACGAGGAGATCGTTGATGGCAAGGAATATTCTATTCCCGCCGAGTGCCCCGCCTGTCTGAAGTCTTGCGAGGTCAATCTTCGCAAGGTCAACATCCCTTACTTCCGCGAGGTCCTTCTCTGGGCCACCGTTTGCGAGCACTGCGGATACAAGTCCAGCGACGTGAAGACTGGAGGAGAGGTGCCGGAGAAGGGCAAGCGTATCACCCTTCGCGTCGAGAACGAGGTTGACCTCGCTCGGGACATCCTCAAGAGCGACACCTGCGCCCTTTACAGCGAAGAGCTCGAGGTTCGCGTCGAGCCCGGCACGCTCGGCGGTCGGTTCACCACCGTCGAAGGTCTTCTGACCGAGATCCGCGACCAGCTGCACGGCCAGATCTTCGACTTCGCCGACACCAGCGCCGGTGACAGTATGGCCACCGACGACAAGGCCAAGTGGGAGCGCTTCTTCAAGCGTCTCGACGCCGCCATCGCCGGCGAGCTGAAGTTCGTCATCACCCTGGAGGACCCCATGGCCAGCAGCTACGTCCAGGACCTGTGCGCCCCGGCCAAGGACGAGCAGATCACCACCGAGGATTACACTCGCACGGACGAGGAGGAGGAAGAGCTCGGACTGAAGGACATGAAGACCGAAGGCTACGAGGCTGATGCGGAGCAGAAGGAGGAGCAGGAGGAGAAGCCCGCTGAGCAGCAGTGATGATCGGACTCGATACCCTTAGACTTTTTTCTTTCTTACCTTATTGATTAATGATGACATTTGTCTTGGTTTTCACGATGCCCATGATACATTTCAGCTGTTGTCTTTCGCCATCGTTGCAGGATATCCGAGAGTGAGCATTGTACGGTGTACGGTGTGGCTATGGAGCGCTGTTTTTTAGTCTTGTGCATATACAAAAGTTTGCGATGAACATAAATGAATGACATGCCCATGCTCGATATCACCTGATTCTGTTCGTGTATGACTTGCGATAGCAAACCCCCAAGTTGAATCTAAAGAAGGCCTGGGAGCGATGAGCCTTGGCTAGCTCTCTAGTGCTAGATCATGGGCTGGGTTCCTACACCGCGATTGGCTACGGGTCTATACCTCTGCTAGTGCTTGAACGACCCTTTCTTCCAGCTTCGCAGGAACACTCAATCCTCAAGTCCTAGAATAAACACGTTCCGGGGGAGAACCCCCGGACCCCCCTTTCTTTCAGCTTCCCAGAAACACTCAATCCCCAAGTCCTAGAAACTAGTAGCAGTGATTGAATAATCAGATCCCGACTCTTGGTGGGTCGACCCCGCCAGACGGCATGGGAAGCATAAAGATCGCAATGATAGGAGCAGGTGTACAGGAAACCAAGAGTATGAATAGGGCACAGATCGTAGTATTCGGTAGGAGATGCGGCATAGTATATGTCCTACGCTTGTGTAGATGTTTGATACTAAACGGTTGTGCTCGCATACCTTCGTCTTCCACGTAGGATCCCGTCCAGAATCTTGGGCCCACTCGCAGGCAAAAGGTCGTATGTAGTAGTCCCAGGCTGCTGGTTATGGTGCAATGTAAATCACGTGGAGCCTCTTGTAGAGCCTCCTGCATAGTCGAGCTGTATTCCGCCGGGGCATGATGGCTGGCTTGGAGGGACGGTATGAGAGCAGCTGCCGCTGTACCTGTCCGGGCTGTAGAAGAATGACGGGCCTGCAGGGTGACTTGCGAAGTCAATCATTTGTTCCCAGCGAACACCGCTGTTGTGGTTAGTCCCAGGTGCCCCAGAGCAACAAAGTCCCGAAGCCTGGCCCCCAATTCCTCGAAGTTGGTCTCCGACTGGCTGGAGACTCGGACTCGAGCCGAGTATAGTATATCCGTATCCATACGCTCAACAGTGCCCCGGTCCCCTCCAGTCTTCCATTCCAAAGCCACCGGAAGACCGTCAAGCACAGGTTCCCCCGCATTTGCCAGGAAAAAAAAACCCAAAGTCAAACGAGAGCCAAAAGCCTACCCCGCAAAAGGGTTAGCATGCACAGTAACCCGCTCAATGCCGACCCGCTCCCACACGCCCGCCTCCTCCTCCTCCGGCGAAGGCTGCACCACCCTCCCCTTCTTGTCCACCTTCATCTTCGCCTTCTCCAACCGCCCCAACACATCGCCCCCCTCATCCTGCGCCGTCAGATTCAACACCTTCCCGAACACCGTGCTCGCCCCGTCCAGATGCGGCGCCGCCGCCAGCGTGATGAAGAACTGGCTCCCGTTGATCGTGGGGCCCGTCGCGCCCTGCGCCCCCGGCGCCGTACGGTCCTTCACCGGCCGCGCCGCCATCGACAGCATCCCCCGCGCGTGGTGCTTCAGCGCCGGCAGGTGGATCTCCTGGTTCAGCGCGTACGGGTGGTGGATCGAGGTGCCGCCCTTGGGGATCGCGCCGTCGATCGGGAGCGCCGGTTTTCCCGTGTCCGGGTTGATTTTCGTGGCCGAGAGGGAGATGTCGCCGCCTTGGATCATGAAGCCCGGGATGTACCGGTGGAATGGGGTGGTGTTGTAGGCGCCGCTGGCGCTGAGGGCGAGGAAGTTCTGTTTTCGAGGGGTTAGAGCTGGAAGGGAGGATT